GACCTCACCTGGAATACTGTGTCCAGTTCTGGGCACCAAGATTTAAGAAAGATGCAGGTAAATTAGAAAGGGTCCAGCGGAGGGCAACAAAAATGAGGCAGGGTTTGGAAACACTGCCATGTGAGGAGAGACTGAGAGAAGTGGGTATGTTCAGCCTTGAGAAGAGAAGACTGAGGGGGGACATGGTATCACTCTGTAAGTACCTCAAAGGCTGCCACAGAGAGGAAGGTCAAGATCTGTTCCTGCAGATACCAGAGTGTAGGGCATGGAATAATCAATTCAAGCTGTGACAACCCAGATTCGGGCTTGATACCAGGAAAAGTTTTCTCACTGTCAGAGCAATATAACAATGAAACCAGTTGGCTAGAGAGGTGGTGGAATCTCCCACATTAGAGACATTAAAAAAGAAACTAGATAGCCATCTGAGTGGGATGGTGTCCTGCAACAGCAGGGGTTTGGATCTGAGTGTCTTCATGGCCCCTTCCTACTCTATTCTTCTATGATTGAATGAAATAGTAAAAACACAATTAAAAAACCAAACCAGTATATTAAACTAGAAACAGTAACTCTGTAAAAGCAGAATCCAAGAGAGTGGCTCAACAAATTAAAAAACTAAAAGTACTGAAAATATATCAGGTGTAAGAAAAATTAAAAGAAAGAGAAAAATGGACTGGAAAATGAAAATAGAAGATACCAAAAAAGGGGATCATTCAATGAATCAAAAAATTGGACTGGGACATCTGGTCCACCTGCTGCTCAGTGCAACAAAAGCATTCCTTTGCCATAGTTGGCCGGCCTCTGCTTAAATTTATCTAGCAAAGCACAATCATGATCTCTCCAGGCAGTTTCTCCTAGTTTTTAGGACAGATGTGGGGAACCTCTTTCAGTCAGAGGGCTGGATTTCATTATGGAAAACCTCTTCAGGCCACATTCATTTCAGCACTAGATGCAGTGGAAGGCAGCATCATTCTCTTGGTCTGCTTCTTTTGCCATACTTTGTCCCTCTGTTGTTTGCTAAAAAACCCCCAAAAATATTTTAGACTGACACTTCTTGGATCACTGCTCAAAAAAACAGTCTTCAGAATTGTTTTGGATATTTTTCCAATTATAGATGATGTTTTGTTGGTAAGCCTTAAGCTTTCTCTGTTTTGAAATTAGAGTATATTCTAGTATATTAATTCACATATCATGCCAAACCTCCCTCACTTCCTGTCCCTTCAAGAACTGGTCTTGAGTGTTTGTACCTGCTGTTGGGTGATTGAGACAGACTGGGGATTCTGTTGGTGTAGCATGCACCCTTCTGCCCAATAGACTCCCTGCCTGAGGTGACAGAGATCACCTGTCACCTCAGGATCAACAGCCTGGGAGACTTCAACTTTCATGCTTAGGCTGTTCTAATTGGGGCAGTTCAGGACTTCATGGCCACCATGACAACCATGGAGCTGTCTTAAAGTGTCACTGGCCCAACACATGAAAAAGGTCACACTCTGGACCTGGTCTTTTCAATGGGGCAGGAAGATGGTGATCTGGAAGTGAGGGATCCAATATTAACCCCTTTGTCATGGTCAGATCACTTCCTTGTGAGGTTTAAACCTGGGGCCAGTTTTCTCCTCCGTAAGGGTGTGGGCCCTATTAAATTGTCCCCCCACCCCAAAATCTTATGGATCCTGATGGATTCCTGAGGGCTCTGAGGAAATTTCTCATTGATATGAGTGGCGCTCCTGTCAACGCCCTGCTTGATTTGTGGAATGGGGAAATGACCCAGGTGATCGACACAATTGCTCCGAAGTGTCCTCTCCTGCCATGCAGTGCCCATGTAGCACCCTGGTATATGCCTGAATTGTGGGCAGTGAAGCAGGCTGGGAGACGACTAGAATGTAAGTGAAGGAAATGCTGTGCCAAATCTGACCAAACGCTACTTAAGAGTTCATTATCAAGCCTATGCTGTGGCGGTGAGGGCAGTGAAGAAGAAACTCTTCTCCGCTTCCATTGCATCCTCACAGCACCATCCAGCTTCCGGTGGTGCAGGGCCTACTACATTCTGGGCCTCAAAAGGATCCTATCGCACCATCAGCAGCCCGCTATGACAACTTTATTTATTAAAAGCTTTTGTATGCCATCCTATTGTACAAGATCTCAGGACGGCTTACAATACTTAAAAGAAGAAACAAACTTTAGGGATAAAATCACTCAGATTCACTATGAGTTGGACTCCAAAGTGATGTGGTCCCAGAACGGGAAGTGTCCAAAGCCCCATCTGGTCCATTTTTGTTGAATGAGTTTCAATTGCTGCGGCCTGAAGATGTGGATAAGGTGCTTGGACAAGTCTGACCTACCACCTGTTTACACGATGCTTACCCTTCATGGCTGCTCACCAAAGTCAAGGACAGGATGTGTACCTGGGTCCAGGAGGTTGTTAACACTTCTCTAAGGGAGGGTCAGGTCCCTGCCCCCTCGAAGGAGGTGGTGATCAGGCCTGTCCTGAACCCAGAGCTGGCCACCAATTATAGACCGGTGGCTAACATCCCATTCTTGGGCAAGGTGCTCGAGTGGGTGGTGGCTGGGCAAATACAGGCTCTCTTGGAAGAAAATGACCATCTGGACCCATTCCAGCCTGGGTTCAGGCCTGGCTATGGGACTGAAAGTACCTTGGTTGCCCTATATGATGACCTGTGCAAGGAGAGGGACAGGGGGAGTATGTCTGTTGGTTCTCCTGGATCTCTCAGCAGCTTTCAATACCATTGACCATGGTATCCTTCTGGATAGGCTGGCTGAGTTGGGGGTTGGAGGCACTTCCTTGAAGTGATTCTGCTCCTACTTGGCTGGTCAATTCTAGAAGGTGGTGCTGGGGGATTATGACTCTGCACCACGGCAGCTTTGCCATGGAGTTCCACTTTATCCCCTATGCTTTTCAACATCTACATGAAACCACTGGGAGAGGTCATCTGGGGATTTGGGCTGCAGAGTCACCAGTATGCTGGTGTCACCCAGCATCACCTCTCTTTTACATCTAATCCAGGTGAGACAGTGGCTGTCCTTAACTGGTATCTGGACGGTGTGATGGGCTGGATGAGGGCCAATTAACTGAGGCTTAATCGAGACAAAATGGAGGTCCTGCTGGTAGGCGGTTCAGCCTTCCAGGTAAGTGATTTTAGTCCTGTTCTGGATGGGGTTGCACTCCCCCTAAAGGACAGAGTGTGCAGTTTGGGAGTGCTCCTCAACCCAGAGCTGTCCCTGGAGTTCCAGGTGGCTGCTGTGGCAAGGAGCACTTTCCTTCATCTTTGGCTGATTCATCAACTGCGCCCTTACCTGGATAAGCAGAGTCTAGCAATGGTGACCCATGCTCTGGTAACCTCCAGATTAGACTATTGTAACATGCTTTATGTGGGGCTGCCCTTGAAGACAGTCCTGATACTTCACTTGGTTCAGAATAGAGCAGCCGGGACCAGCATATATGCACATAGAACGCCAGTCATTTATTTATGAAATTTGTATGCCACCCAATTACTAATGTCTCTGGACGGCTAACAGCATAAATAAATTGGTGACCCACTCTACATTACATCTACACTAGCTACCAATTGAAGTCCGGGCCCAATTATAGGTGCTGGTGATGACCTATAAAGACCTAAATGGCTTAGGACCTAGATATCTGAAAGAGTGTCTCCTTCCCTATGCACCTGTCCACCCCTTAAGATCTGGGTTGGAGGCCCTTCTTCAGGCGCCCTCCTTGAAATTGATTAGGAGAGTGGCTACCTAGAGAAGGGCCTCCTCTGCAGTGGCGCCCCAGTTATGGAATATGCTCCCCAGAGAGGTGTGGCTGGTGTCAACAATTGGTTCTTTATGGCACTAGGCTAAAATCTTTTTATTTTCCCAGAATTTTAAGATTTAAATTATTTTAATTGGGGTTTTAGTGTATAAAAATGATGTGCTTTACTTTGTTTTTATTGTAAACCCACCCTGAGACTATTTGGTAAGAGAATAGTATAGAAAAGTTTTAAATAAATAAATAAATAAAACCATGGTTTGAACTAAGTATAACTTAAAATGTGGGTTTCCAAACAACCAAGAAAACCATGGCTTAGTCATAGGTCCTCAAACGACGGCCCGGGGGCTGGATCTGGCCCGCCATGCCCATTTGGACCCGCCACGCCTGCCGCCGCCCACCTCACCCCGTGTGCGGGGAGGCAGCAGTTTGCTCACTCAGAGAAAGCCATCTCCAAATGAGCAAGCTGCTGCCTTGTGCCTCACAGTGTGTGCCCGCCTGCGCCTCGCCATGCGTGCCCACCCCCGCCTCAGCGCACCGCCTGCACACGCTGCCCTTGCCCTCGCGCCAGCCTGCATGCACTGCCGGCACCACCTTTCCAGCCTGCGCTCAGCACTGGCACCTTTCACCTGCCCCCCTGGTGAAAAAGTTTGAGGACCTCTGGCTTAGATCTACCTTGCTTCTGTTCAGTACTCCTGTCTCCAGGTGCAGCAGCCTCCAAAGGTAAAGCCCTGGCCACAACTATGGTTTCTTAATTCAGGAATCAGCACAAATTGTGGCTTGCATATTTACCTGAAATCAAGGTTCTTCATCCTGGTTTGCTAGAAGCCAATATCATTTGAACATTATCATGTTTGTTCTTTGGTTAATGGCTTGCGAGATCTAGGTTTCATATTCAAATTCTGTAGTGGAGAAACTCTTAGTACAGACTAACTATGGAGAAGGAGAGGTACTGATGCTCTTCAAGTGAGCAATGTTGATTTTGTGATCAGTAGTCTTAGCTTAAATGGCTTTAAGGGGATTAGACAAGTTAATAGAAGGCAGATGGATTATTGGCTATTGTTCCCAATACTAAATGGAACCATAAACAGCAGAGGCAGTATACATCTGAATGCCACTTCCTGAGAAGAAATATGAGGGGAACAAGTTTGCTGTCTAAATGCTCTGTCTGTAAGGTTCCTTGGGACATCTGGCTGGCCACTATTGCAAACAGAATTCTGGTTTAGACTGATTCTTGATTTTATCCAACAACTTTTTAATTACATCAAAGCAGCACCTGATTTGAAAAAGAAGCATCCATGGCTGGAGGGAAGCAGATTAGTTGGAACAGTTTTGTCCTGCCTCATCCAAAGCATATGCTGGTATGATTCTTCTTTCCTCTAATTCTATTGGTTTTAGTATGACTGTAATACAAAGAGAAAGTTAAATTAAGAGGCTGTATAGTATGTTCCACTACAATTTACCTAACATTGCATCCTGCAAGTTAAGTGCACTACCATCTAGTTTTACTCTAAAATAGACACCTGCATCTGCAAACTGACTCAGAGCAAGGATAGCAGAGAGGCTTGGAAAGGGAAAAGCACGGCATTAGCCACTCTGTCCTTTTTGTTCTTGAGTTTCTCTCCCCCACTTCTTTCAAACTTTCCAGTGGAATGAGCAACAACAGTGTTAGCCCTGAGAACGTCTTCTTTGCCAAACATTTCTGGATTTTAAGATTTTAAATACAAACTGAAGACCTAGTTGCTCAGTTGCTATACCGGCAAAGCAGCCAACAGCTGCAAACCACAGCCAAGCTCGCCTTTCTTCCAACGGCCCAAAACGGCGTGCTTGTGTTGTAAATGAAAAACAGTTCAATCAATACATCTTTTGAGTCACTGTATGCGGCGCACGAATTTCAGTTGTTCTGAAGCTATAATGGAGCTAGTTTGTAAACTAGACGTATACAAACTAGAAGCTATACAAAGCTATACAAATTCTGACTACTATTTCTTGAGAGCTTCACCTCTTCTCTTTCACTTATATCCTTCAAAGGAAAAAAGGGAAACAAAGAAAGAAGGCAGGCGCTGATATTCTACTACTTAAGAAATGAAACCAAGATTCGCAGGAGGCGCAGCGTGATGACGCAGATCCAGGTGCCGGAAGCCTAAGAGACGGAACCTGCGCAGAGAGGGTGCAAGCAAATTGATGCTAATTCTTTTCCGGGTGCTGTAGTGCACGGTTGCGCTTGCGTGTGAAAGACGGAAGACGCTGACGGAAAGCTGGAAAGGGACGGACTTCAGGACGGTGGCAGTAATAGAGGAGCGAGCCGGGTTGGGCTCCGCCGGCCTTCGGATCTCGCGAGACTTCTTCATCTCCGCCACGGCCCTGGAGGTGACCGGTTGCGAAAAACATAGTACAGCGGTGGCACGGGCGACCATGGAGCCACCTTCTGACCTGGAGGAGGTGAAGAGCGGCGGAACTCAGGGGAAATCTGACTGCTCCTCCCCGTGCCCGGCAACGGCTGAGGGGCTGGCCCGGGTCTGCGACCTCCGCTTGCAGAGCGACTCGCCTCAGCAGCAGCCTCCGCCGCTGTCGTCGTCACTGCCGCCGCCACCTCCTCAGCCGCCACCGAAGCGAAGTTGGACTCGGCGGCGGCAGCAGCAGCAGCGGCGGCGGCAACTGGGCACGGAAAGTGGTGGCAACGGCAACAACAGCAGTAGCAGCAGTGAAAGCAGCGGCGGTGGCAGCGAAGAGGAAGAGGAGGACGACGAGGATGAGGATGAAGAGGAGGAGGAGGAAGACGACGACGAGGAGGAAGACGACGACGATGACGAGGAAGAGGAAGAGGAGGAAGAAGAGGAAGACGAGGAAGTGTCTGAGGTAGGTAGTCAAGCTTGCAGAGGTCACCCCTGCCCCCGGTGGTCTGGTGGGGATATGGGAGGTAGAGGAGGCTTCCCGGCGTGGCCCCTCTGATCTGCTTTCGTAACCTTGTCTCTGTTGATGATGGCGCCAGAAGCAGACAGAGGAGGCACCCAGAGCGTAGCGCTACAGCCCTGCCGCGTGCGGCGTCTCCTGGGTGTGCAGCGCCTGTCCACCCTTGCGAGAGCCAAGACCAGGTGGGAGAAAGATCACGCGAGTGCTGATTTGACCACGGTGGAACTGAACCGGGGTAACCCGAATCCTGTGTCCATGCCTCCATTTGCAAGAGGTTGCTGGACTTGCAGACCCATTTTAAACATGTGATGAGGTGTGATGAAGGCCAAGTAACTTCGCATCCAAAGATAGTCTTTGTAATGTAAAGTCTAACTTAACGTCTAACTTAAGTTGGACAGAACTAACTTGTCCCTTTAGATTTTGGTGGCTCTGTGGCATGATACTACCCCCGCAACATTGTTTAGTGCCATCATCAACATTACAGCTAATGCTGTGCATGCTTATTAAGAAATATGTCCTACTGAATTCAGTTTGGCTTACTCTTTGTTGCTTAGAGTTAGAATTGTTGTTGATATTATTATTATTACATTACGTGCCTATACCTCCCATAGCCAAAGCCCTCTGGGTGGTTCACAACATTTAAGACACCCATCCAGATTTCAACCAGGCCTGATTCTGCTTGGTTTCCACAATTAGGCAGGCAGGATCAGGCACTTAAGGCTGTACTGAAGCATATCATGCCTTCTTTCTACAGGCTTCCTGAGAGGCAACATCAGAAAGGCCAAATAGTCATGTCTCCTCAACTGTTTGCTGCAAAAAAAAGGGCCATGGGGGTGGGGGGTGACTCTAAATGTGTGAGAAGGCCTGCCTACTTGGTCAGTTACCTTGGTACTTTTTTTTTAAAGTATTAAAACCAGTGGCTCTAATAGTTCAAACTTGAATGTGTATAACTGGAACTGATCCTAAAGTTTAACGAAGCATGCTTCCAAGTAAATGTTCATCCTGTTGTCTTATATTCTAATTGCACAGCATCTGTTACTTTAAACCTTAGGCATGTTTATTTCCTAGTAAGTGTGGATATAACTGAAGTCTTGCAGTGTGGTTCTAATGGTTTAGGGCCTGGATATCTAACACAGTGTCTTCTTTCATATACTACCTCCCAGACCTTAAGATCATCTGCAGAGGTCCTTCTCCAAGAGCCCTCCTTGAAGGAGGTGAGGAGGGCTGTTACTAGGAGGACGACCTTTTATTTATTTATTTAATTTCTATGCCGCCCCATTTGCCAAAGCCTTGGGGTGGCTTACAAAACAACAGTTAAAATATAAAACACATTAACATTATAAAATAAGTCACCCTGGCCGACTTATTTTCAATAGTAGTGCCCCAGTTGTGGAATTTGTTCCCCAGAGAGGTTCATCTGGTGTTGACTTTTTATTCATTCTGGCACCAGGGCAAACCGTTTTTATTTAGTTAGTTTTTAAAATGTCTATTTTGTCTTTTGCATTTTAAATCAAATACTGTCTGCCTGTTCTTTTGTACACCATCTTGACAATTTTTGAAAATATAAGATGGTATAGCATTGTTAAAAATAACTGTATTTACTCTGAAATAAATCTGGTTGGTTTCAGTTGCAATTACTTCCAGGTAAGTGTTGGTGCAACCTTACTGGTTGCACCAACCAGTTGGTTTCATGCCTTTTATGTTAAATGGAGTTATTCTTGTATACAGGCATCTACTCAAGTTTACTGAGTTGGAGAATGTTACCACAAGAAGTGTAGCTGTTTTAGGGTGGAATTCTGTTGACTGTGTCCTTGGAATTTTAAGCCTGCAGACATGGAAGCTTAAGAGAATCATGCCCAGAGTGGGAGGAGTAGCAAGTTGAGCTCCACTTTCTTGCACTTCCCACTCTGCATTTCAGTAAGAAGGTCATTTTCTGCCATCTAGCTGAGGTGCTTCAGAAGGGGAGGGAAGGAGTCTGGAGTGCTATCCGGACTACCTATCCAGGCAAGTGCAGTCTCCTGCCCTCCCTGCCCCCCCCCCCCCAGCATCCCCATTACCCTATCTCTGAGGTCAGTTGCCTTAGAAAGGCAGCCAGTACAGCTCTTTCCATGCCAGGTATGAAATGCAGGGATGAAGATCAGAGTGCAGAGCTGGCAATCTGAATTACCCTCATGGCCTCCTAGATGCTGGCTAGAGACCACAGGATCACTCTCTATATATTCAGCATGCAGTCCTATGCATATTTAGGCAGAAAAACATCCTAGAACACTCTGCATACACCAGCTAGAATGCTGGGAGTTGTAGGACTTCTTTAGTATCTAAATAGTCATAGCACTATGGTCTGGGCCTTTTGAAGTAGCAAGGCCCCAGGAAATTAAATTTTTATTGTGGTTGTACTCATTTTTAACCTGTGCAATCAGATGTGTAGCTATATTAAACAGTATGTATTTTCTCAAAGGGTATGTATATTTTGAGAGCAGCATTTTGCGAATAATATTTTTGTGTTGAACTTCATCAGCATTTTAAAAGTAATTTGCATAATAGACCATGCATAGAATTGTATATATAGTTAATATAGTTCAGAGTTCTTTCCTCTGAAATCAATAGAGCATTCAGATAGATTCAGTGCATTAACCAGAAAGCATTTATAGTTTATCTCAGTGGTCCCCAACCTTTTTGGCACCAGGGACCAGTTTCATGGCAGACAATTTTTCCATGGACCTGAGGGGCGTGGCGGATGGTTATGGGGATGATTCAAGAACATTACATTTATTGTGCACCTTATTTCTATTATTATTACATTGTAATTTTATGATGTCATAGTTATCCTACTTACCATAATGCTAGAGGCCCAAGACTCCAAAGGGCGTTGCAATGGTGGTGCGGCACCTCAAAAAGGCTTTATAGCCTGCTGGCAGCTCTCCCCAACCCCTCATGCTTTGTCAGGTGCACGCCATGTGCTGACTTGCTCAGCCTCCTTGCACCTTCACCTTGCCCCCCCCCCCCCCCCCCCCCCCCCCCCCCCCCCCCCGGTCCCCTTCCCCCTCCCCCTGCCCCCCCCCCCCTCCCCCCTCCCCCCCCCCCCCCGACCTGCAGCCCAGCCCTTACCTGGTTCCCTTGCTGCTAGCACTTGCCTCCCCTGGCTTCCCCACTGCTGCCACTGCTCCCTCTTCCTTTTGAGGTCCGAGACCCAAAAGGGCCCTAATGATAATCTCTATTTGCAGGCACTCCCCAGAGGTGATGATAGCACTGGGGAGTGGCTGCAAATACAGATGAGCAGCGGGAGAGTGAATGAAGCTTCATCTTCTGTGCAGCCCACTTTCTAACAGACCACGGACTGGTACCGGTCCGTGGCCCAGGGATTGGGGACCCCTGGTTTATCTCATTTAAATTAGTGAGAGTGAGGAACATGTTACTAACATATGCATGAAACCCAGCTCCACTGATCTACTACCATGGAAGCAATGGAGGTTCTGTACGATTATCCATGTGCAGGGAAGGTTGTGCTAATCCCTGAAGCACCACCAAAGGATGAAAACAAGAAAGGAGAGAACTGAAAGTGCATGGGTGGATTGTCTGACCTCAGGTCCTTACGTTGGGGGGGGGGGTTGTGTGTGTGTGTTTGCTTTAGTGCCCCGCTGCCTTGAGGCAAGTACATGTAAGAATGGACAGTTCTTACTACCTGTTGTTAATGGAAAAGACAAACATTTGTGGTCATTTGGTGTTTTAAAGATGGTGCAAGCTTGTAAGTTTCACAAACCCTTCATTGTGTGAAACTCAAATGATTGCACTATAAAAGCAGTGTTTAACCTATAAATTTTTATAGGTTATTTATTTAAAAAAAATATGGATAGTAGAGGGGACATGGGAAATTACAAACTGGTTAGCCTTTCATTCTGGGAAAAGACAATGGAAAACCTCATAATAGTGAGAGATTTAGTAATCTTAGATAGGGAAGGGAGGTTGGCGACCATGCAACATGGCTGCCTCAAAAACATATCCTTCCGGACAAACCTTGTGGAATTCTATGACAAGGTTTCAAGGTGGCTAGATGGAGGGGATGCAGTGGATGTGGTTTACCTGGATTTGACAAAGTGCCGCATGATATCCTGGTTGAGAAATTCAGGAGTTTTGGGATGGACCAGTGCACTGTCCAATGGATTAGGGCATGGTTGATGGACCAAAGGCAGAGGGTGACTATTAGTGGGAATCATCAAGATGGTGGACTGTGCCAAGTGGGATCCCCCAGGGCTCGGTCCTTGGACTGCTCCTGTTCAATCAATGACCTGGAAGAGGGGGTGACCAGTCTGCTAATCAAATTCACAGATAATACTAAAATGGGAGCGGTGTCCACAACTGAGGAGCAGGTACAGATGTGGGTAGAGACCTGTTTTCCCCTGCAGAGTAGGGCAGGACGCATTCTTGTGGAGCAAAGCTCAGGGAACCCTGGTTCAATTTAGATGCCAGGAAGTACTTCCTGACAGTTAGGACCCCTAAGGTATGGAATGGACTTCCACAGGAGGTGGTTGAAGCTCCATTGATGAGAGTGTTCAAGGATAGATTGGGCATGCACATGGTAGACATGTCATGAGCAGAGCAAGCTGGAGCTGGGGGTCCCTTCTGACTCGCTCTGTTTCTGTGTTTCTAATGGATTGGATGTAAGATAATAAATTGAGCAGTATTCCAGGCAAAACAGAGGGCTGAACTGGGGGTGGGAATAGTCTCTGTTCTGGTTGGTATTATTTTCCCCTTGAAAGATCAGGACTCTAGGAAGCTCAGGAATTCTGCCTCGCTCTTAGATGGAAGGTGGTAGCTATGATTTAGGAATGTTTTTATGGAATTTCAGCTAGTGCACCAGTTTCTCCCCTTCAGTAAAGCAATCTGGCACCTTGGTTACAGATTGCAGCTTTTTACATGAGCCATTGTGGGGGCCTTTTAAAGAACAAAACCCAATGTTACTCAGTGTAAGTTAGTGAGTTGTGTGCTTGCATTATATCAGAGGCTCTGCGACTCTTGTCTGTAAAGTATGTTGATGTTTTGCTGCTTTTGCCCATGTATTTATTCATCTCTACTGGCTAGTTTTAGTGTGATGTTCCATGAGTGTGATCCATGAGTGTGCATATGTACATAAGTTTGTAGATTTATTACATTTATATTCTGCTTTTCCTACAAGAAATCCGAAGTTCTCTTGATTCTCTTCCTCTCTACTTTATCATCACAGCAACAACCTTGCGAGATAGGTTAGGCTGAGAGTCAATGACAGACCCAAAGTCACACACTGAATCATGGCAAAATAGAGACTAGAATCTCAGTCTTCCAAATTCGATTCCAAAACTCTTAATTGGTGTACACAAATGCATACGTGTGCACACTAGCTCACTGCATGGTTCATGGAATGCAGGAGACAGCTCTTCGTCCCCAAACTTCTATTTTACATTCGTCTCTGGTTGATAGCCCCTAATGCTTCAAGTAAAAATGAAAATCAGTCCTACCAGCCTGAAGGCTCTCCAACCAGCTCTAAAAGATTAAGACTGGACTGTGTAAGCTTACACTACTTGATCACCTAGAAGCACATTCTTCTTCTCTAAATGGCCAGGTGACTGATGGTTGAACGTTTGATACTTTGTGACTGAAAGGCAGTTTTCCTCTGTAGTTGGTCTATGGTTAAGCCATGGGCTATTTTGTATGTATGTCCAGTGTGATGGCTAAACAATGTTTCAGGCAATTATATTAATTTTTAATTGTGTTTCCTATATGTATCCCATCTTTCCCTCAAGGAATCTGGAACAGACCCTCTTGACAACTTGTGAGGTAGGACGGACTGACAGGAACTTATTTAGGGTTATCTATTGTGTTCTTAATTTTCTTTATCGGTCTCACTGAAACTTGTACCTGGGGACATTTGTCACTTTCCAATATTCCATTGCTGGAAATGCTACAGCATCGCTATGTTACATTGCTTTGTCAGTATTTTAAAGAAGGAATGATTGAATATTAATGTATAGTTTCTTCAGAGCAGTGCATCCTCAGCACTCATATAGTTCTGTATAGTTCTAAAATAGCTCAGTTTGTTTTAGCTGCATTTCATTTGCTTCTGCTGTTCCTTTAAAAACTTTTAAAGAAAAAATCCTAGCATGTATATGTCTGTTTTAAGCACAGAAGTTTTAAGCACGGAGGACCAACTGCAGAATGCAGAGAAGCACTAGACAACTTTTTAGAGTTGAGAGATGAGTGTTTCCACAGCACAGTTTTTAGGTCTGTGTTCTAAATGTAACAGGATCCTATAAAATACTCCATCAGTAATGTATTATTAGTGCTGCTCTATAATAGCAAAGAGGAACAGTTTCTGTTTCCATTAAATAGGTCCTCCCTAACAGTTGTTTCAATTCAAACTGCAGTTTCTTTTCATATTTGCTCTTGTTTTAGTGCTTGTAGAGCAAGTTGTTTTAAGAAATGGGTGCACCCTTTGCAAACAGACAACCCCAATATTGCTTTTGCATTTAATTGTTCAGTGCTTCTAAGTTTATTACAATAAGAAATATTTAATCTTATGAATGTTCTTGATGGCCTCTGGGTTTCCCTGGTAAAATATTTGTCACCTCTCAGACTACTGATTTTAATGTGTATGAATGTAATTGTGTAGGAGCTTCCATTATGGGGTGGAAACTTATCCTTAATCCATGGCAGTGTTGCACGTTTTGGATGACTACTTCACAGAACTTTTCACTTAGGCGGGCTTCATGCACAGAACTGATTAGTTCGGCTCGCATGTATTCTACCAGTCCTCATTATGAGAATCAGCCTACATTCATGCTCTTAGGGAAGTTTCCCTATATTCTCCTGTGGGATATTGCAACATTTGTATAGCTACCAGTACTGGGGACTTGAGTCAAGTGACTTGCTCCCAAGTCTGAGTCAAGTTGTGTCAGTGACTTGACTCAGACATGACTTGGAAGCAATGAGTGAGTGGCTTGACTCGACTCTATTGCTTTCACAACTGAGTTGCGAGGGGGGGGGGGGGAGGGGGAGGGGGGGGAATGGGGAGGGGGGGGGGGGGGGGGGGGGGGTTGCAATACAGGTTGTGCCTAGGTTACATCCACTTTAAGTAGTTGAACCCTTCTCTTTCTCATGTCTTTTGTTCTGGATGTATCTGAAGGAAACTTTCTTGTTGTGCTTATCATCCCTTGCTATTAGTTTATTTTCTGCTTTAGCCTTCCTGATGCAATTCCTGCAATTCCTTGCTATTTGTTTATATTCTTCTTTTGTGGCCTGGCCCTGTTTCCACTTCCTGTTCAAGTTCTTTTTTTCTTTCAGGGTGTCACTTAACCCTTTGTGAAGCCACGTGGTCTTTCTCTGCTGTCTTCTACACATTTTTCTTGATGGAATTGTTTGTAGTTGTGCTTCAAGGATCTTCCTTTTCAAGATTTCCCCCCTTAAGGGTGTGTGCCATGGCACTTTGCTTATCATTTTTCTGAATTCATTAAAGTTGGCTTTCTTGAAGTCCAAGGCTTCCTTGTTTGGCTCAAGTTACCCTTTGGCTCCTTCATAATTGAGAATTCAAGTATCACATGGTCACTATCCCCCAGAGTTCCCATGGTTGTTATTTTGTCCACCAGTCCTCTCTGTTAGTACTAAATCAAGTATAGATTATCCTCTCGTACCTTCCTCTACTTTCTGCTGGAGAAAGTTGTCGGCAACATATGTCAGGAATCTCTTGGAGGGGCCATGCTTGGCAGAATTTTTCTCCCAGCATATAACAGGGAAATTGAAGTCCCCCATAATGACTATATCATTCTTCTTGGAAATGCTGGTGAGTTGCTTTTCAAAGGTTGCATCCTAGTCCTCTTTTTGCCTGGGTGGACGGTAATATATGCCAACAACTATGTTTTTCTTATTTTTTGCTCCCTTTAAGTTTAGCCAGATGCTTTCAATAGGACTACTAAGTTTTTCTTCTTGAATTTCTATGCAGATATATGTGTCTCTCACATATAGTGCAACTCCACCCCCCTTTTTGTCCTTTTTATTTTTCTTAAACAGGCTGTATCCATCAATTGTAGAGTTCCAGTCATGTGGGTCATCCCACCAAGTTTCCATTATTCCTATAAGATCGTAATTGTCCTCGTGTGCTATGAGCTCAAGTTAGTGTTGCTTGGTTCCCATACTCTGGGTATTGGTATAGAGACATCGAAGTTCATTCTAGCTGTGCCCTGGTTTTCTTTCTACATTTTTTGGGAGACTGGTGCTGGACCCTGCTTGAAGTTTTTTCTTTGTTGAAATCGAAAAGTCTTTGCGAGGAGATGGCATACCATGCTGCACATCTCCCTACTCTATAGGTTTTAGTTTAAAGCTCTTCTGATGAAGTTTTTCATGTGGTGGCCAAACACCTGCTTCCCGTTCTTTGTGAGGAGCAGCCCATCATTTGCCAGTAGTCCATCTTCCAGGAAGCTTAGCTTGTGGTTTCAGAATCTAAATTCCTCTTTATGGCACCACCATTGTAGCCAGTCATTCATTTGAAGAGTTTTTCTTTCTCTAACAGTTCCTCTACCACGTACTGGTAGGATTGAGGAGAAGACTATCTGGACCCCAGTGTTTTTTATTTTCCTTCCTAGAGCTTTGAAGTCTGATGTTATTTCAGCAAAACATCTCATGGCAGCGTCATTAGTTCTCACATGGAAGAGAAGGAAGGGGTATTTGTCAGTGGGTCATACGAGTTATGTGAATTTGTTGGTTATATCTTTAACCTTGGTGCCAGGGAGATAAGAAACTTGGCAATTCTCTGGGTCATCACGACATACATATTTGTCCATTCCTCACAAGAGGGAATCTCCCACAACTAGCACTCTTCTCCTTTTGTTGCAAATTTTGCTGTCCTTTTTCTTGTTTGATTGGCCTTTTGTCTCTGAAAAGAGTTATGTTGTGTGATTCTTTTACACTGGGTTTCTCACACGTCTCTTCCTCAGGCAACTGGAAGCGGATCGAGAGTTCCACTGCTTCCATGGGTGCAGAGTGTTTTCTAGCTCTTCTGTGTCTGTCACCCTTTTCCAGTGAATTTTCTCATTTTCTCTTGGGTTTCTCTTCTGCTGCCTCAGCTTACAGTTGCTCATCTTCCTTCTAGAGTACAATTACCTGTTGCAGTTCCTCCACTCTGTCTAGAAACTGTTTTCTTTTATTGTTCGGAGGGTAGATACTCGCTGCTCCAGTGCTCTCACTTTTTTGTGTAATAGGGGCACTAGTCTGCAGCAGTTGCAGTTGTTGCAGGGCGCCACTGTGGAGTCTTCTTGGTGCATTGCTTGTGCCACCGCTGAAGGGGAACTAAATCAGTATTAGCATGCCTGTGCTACAGATGGGGAAATTATCTTGAACTGACAGCAGAGAGAGAGATAGAGAACCAGAACCAGAACCTGTCTGAGTAGGACAGTGACCAACAGGCCTGCAAATATTACCCAATGCGAAAGAAAGAAAGAAAGAAAGAAAGAAAGAAAGAAAGAAAGAAAGAAAGTTTTGATTATTTTATCTGTTTTGTTTTAGGTTTGGTTTTGCTTGGAACTGTGACATTTTATTATTCTAACAGTTTTTCATAAATTAGCAGAGTAACCTGGAAAATATACAGAAAATGAACAAACAAAAAACAACATATAGTACTTTAAAGTGCTCAAAATGCTTCATGATCTTGTTATAATCTATGCAAGACTGATAGTGAGCTTAACTCTATAAGACAGTAATTTGAAAACATGGTCTAAACTGTTTTATTAACTATTTCTTTTGGTTTTTAAATATTGTCTGCCTACCCACTCATACACACATTCTTTCTCTTCCCAGTACTTGTAGTTGCTTTATTATTACTGTATTATTATCATTATTACAATACTGTATTGTGTTTAAGATGTTATGGAAGTGTTTCTTAAGTGTTTTACAGAAAGGTAAAATACGAGGTGTGACACAAAAGTAACCAAATTAGTATTAAAAATATTTATCGATGAATTACAGCATTCTGAATATTGTCACCTTCTATATACAGCCCCTCCTGATCTCTACACCGCTCTGTACGTATTTTCCATTGATTGAAACTGGAAGTCTTCTTGCGTGAGGCTGTTCAACAGGCTTGCCATTTTTGTCTTCACTTCATCCATTGATGCAAAACGTGTTCCCTTCAGGTCACTTTTGATTTTTGGGAAAAAGTAAAAATCACAGGGAGCTAAATAAGGAGGATGATGGAGGATAGAAATGTTTTTTTCACTCAAAAACTGCTTTACGGAAAAAGCATTGTGCGGGGGAATATGATGTTGATTCTCAATTCGATTTTTTCCCCCAACATTATTGCGGCAACACGTGTAGCGAGTGTAGTTCGAATACTGACCGGGCTATTCATGGGATATACCTAGCTGGTCAGTGGTTTGAGAGGGCGTGTAGGAGGAGATATAGTTCTATGATGTACGTCTAGCCAACCTCCAGACGATTTTCCAGGAAAGCCCAAAGTGCAATTTAGTTATTTCTGTGCCTCACCTCGTATATGCATATATTAAGAGAAACATTTGACTTATTCACATGATCCAGCTTACATACAAATTCAACTTAAGGACGTTCTCAGGAACACAACTTGTCCATTATGCAGGGGCTACCTGTATAGGGGGAAGCCTTAAGCAATCTTTTTGGTGCACTTTGCTTTCCTCGACAAGTGCAACAGCACTTCTCCTGCCTGCTGCCTCTGTTCTGTTCCTGTGTGTTTCCAGGAAGAATAACAGTACCAGGTTGGGGGGTCAATCATGTTTTAGAAAAAGGCATTTTTCTGAATTGAACTCTTGATAAATTCAAATAACAGCAAAGCTTAGTTTAAATAAATCATGGTAGAAGTAAAGGACTTCAATGCATCACTGAGAAAAGGGGGGGGGGTTTACAACTCTTCCCCCATACCCTACTACCACTTTTTTCCATTAAAGTTGGTTCTTGAGACTTGAGAAGAGACGTGAGACTTTACTTGAAAATTTCTTGCAATGACTTGAGACTTTACTTGGACTTGAGTCAAGTTGCAAGTCTTTACTTTTGAGACTTGGTGTAAAGGATTTGAACGCATCACTGGCAGCTACTAACATAAATCCTGTAGTCATGGTGTGGTCTCTGATTGCTGTTGATGTATAGTGTGTCACCAGGCAACTGTTAAGGTGGTGTTGCGGATGAGGGTGGGCAGACCTCGGGCTTCTAGAATCTTCTTTGCTTTTTACAAGCAGTCTTAAGTTTTACTGATTGGAGCTAGAACAAATGCCTTATGCTTAGAATTAAAATAGTCTGAGTGTAGGATTTTGTTTTGAGTAGCACAACTGAATGGATCTCGCAGCCTCCTCACAGTCAAATGTATTTCTTTCACTCCAAAGGTATAATTTAGGATGTAGGGCTATCTTGCTGCTGCTAAACATGGCACAGTCATTGGTCCTGCTGATATACTGCCAGTCACCCAGAGACCTACCAGTATATTCAGAACTACTTTGTATAGTTTTTGAATTTGCAGGCAATGGCATGTGAATCACTAAAACACTCATGCTGTAGGGTAAGTGGAGAATAGGTCTGGACCTGTCTTGTGATAGTTGTACCTGTCTATGCTCATCATTTGTATTACAATGGTAACTTGGTGCTTAGTAGTTAAGTGTCATTTCTTTATGCCTGGTACCAGAGGTCTAGAAACTATGTGTGGGCTTAGTAGCAAGAAATAATTTATAATATCAAAGAAATATGCAGAAAATGTTATTCAAGCACATGCAAAGTACTTTTTCTTTTACATTGAGCAAACAAGTAGCAGCCTGTCTATCCCATAGAATTAAAGAGAAGGGCTAATAGCAGAGATGACATTTATTCTCTATAACCCAAGGGCTTCTGCTGATCTCATTTTGAAAATTTCATTGCTTGCATTTACATGGCAAATCCCAGCACTATACAGCAAACATCTGTTTTCAAAACCATAATTAAGAATGCTGGGAGAAAGTCTTTGCCTGTCTCAAAAAATCCATTCCATTTTTTTCCTCCTTCCTAGTAGCTGTTTCTTTTCACAGTTCCTTATCTTTATAGTGGGTAGCTTGTTATCTTATCTTATGTTATGTTCTGTTAGTCCGGACATTTTGTCCTGCCCATCACCTGCCCATCACGACCCCATGGACAACATTCCTCCAGGCTCTTCTGTCCTCCACCATCCACCGGAGTTATGCATTATAACAATCCAGCTGAGGTATAACTAAGACTCCCGAAAACATAACCAGTTCTGAAATCTTAAGAATTGATGCAGTTGACACATCATCCTATTTTGTAAAAACATACTCCTATTTTGTAAAAACATACTCCTGCCTACTACTGACAACTGGGCATTGAAGGCTTAGCACTGGATCCAAGAAAACACTCAAACTGCAAATCTGAGTTTGCAAGGGTAGTGCTAGCAAAAGATCTAGTACAGTTTTAATGCAGTTGTACAGTTCTATTCCCCCAGCTTCTGTTTTGTCTGCATTAAACTTCAGTTCATTTATTCTTATTTAGTTGATCTGCAATGAGTTTGTAACCCAAGCTGAACTCTCAGTAAGTGCTTGGACATCATGATATAGGCAGCTTTAAATTTTCTTATCTGGAAAGTGTCTAGTGGCCATTGGGCAGTGCCCTAAATATGTTTTCTTGTATTTGTTCTTATGTATGCTGCCCTGAGAACTTTGGCTATAGTACAGATCCTAAATAAATAAAATTAACAGGGCTATACCTTGCATACTCTTCTGTATCATGTACATACACTTGCATACCTACTCATACACATACTGTGTAGTCATTGCCAAAGCCACACTCAGCAACAACACTGTTATTGATTATGTCTAGCTTTATAGACAGGAGTCTGAATCCTTTTGTGATCAGCAAACACAATTTGTAGAAAGAGCCCATGCAGTGCAGCACCCACATAGCTCCCTTTGCAGGACTTGCAGAG